AACTATAGGATTTATGAAAAAGGAAAGTCTTCAGTCTAATCTTAAAAGTAGACAGAGTGTCAGCCTCACGGACAGAAACTGGATGGACGGATGGATGGATGGATGGATGGATGGATGGATGGACAGATAGAAGCAATTTACATAATTATCTGCCAATACACTAAAGAAAACATTTAAAAATATTTAATTGCATTTACCAAATGTAAACATTTTGGGGACAGAGTACTCAAAATAAAATACAAATAACAGTTGAAATTTGTCAACCAATGTTTCTAAACTGATGTTAAAAAGCTATCTACATCAGGTACAATATGATTTGTTCATAATAACCTTTCTAAAAATACTTAAGAGCCCAAGTGTTACTTTAATGTTTTCAATTTCAAAGTAAATCTACATGTAAAATGAATGGTTAAATGCACATTTGGGGGGCAAATGTCCTCCTGCCCATTACTGATTAAATTCAGTCAGGTGACAGTTTAGCATGTCTTACATTCTTTTGTATATCATGAAAACACTGTTTAAAAACACTTCAGATAGGACTGCATTTTTCATTTCTTTAATCATTTTTATTTTACTGTCTGGAAGTTTTACATCCAGGGAGGAAGTGGCTGCCCCATGCTGGGCCACGATGTTCCTGCCCTCCGGAAGGCGTGGAGCCATGCGGAGCCAAGACTATTTTTATGCAGCTGCCCACCCTTTCACTCAGACACTATCTTATTTATTTTGAGGTGTAGTAATTTGCCAGAATCCACATTTAAATGTCTGCACTATTTTCAGTTACTGTTACCAGTCCTCATTGGATTTACTGGCTGGGTAATTTGTCTAGAAAAAAAGGAGATTTCAGCATACATCAGTACATCTTTCAGCATGTTTTACAAGTTTGCATAAGCTTTCACAGGTCTGGTGGAGTGAGGTGAGGACATACATAACAAAAGGAGAAGCTGTATAATTGTAGAACCCAGCAGCACTGAGGGCAGGTGTGGAATTCATTACAGACAAACCTCTTCTTACTTACTAAGTAGTTAAGAAAATAGTGTTTTGTATCAGAATTTTGTGTAAAGTGTAAATCCTAAAAAATAATGTTAGGTACGACAAAAATCTCTCTCTCTCTCTCTCTCTCTCTCTCTCTCTCTCTCTCTCTCTCTCTCTCTCTCTCTCTCTCTCTCT